GCTACTGATATTGCTATTCAAGCTGAAGAGATATTAAAATCAAAGTCGTTACTGAACAATCTATTATCAATACATACCAAGAGGCCCCTGAGTGATATAGGTATCATTAATAATAATTAATTAATAATATTAATTAATTAATGTTTATTAATTAGAGTCGGCAGTTGAACGTGATAAGTTCCTGTCACCGACTGAAGCTAAAGAGTTTGGACTCATTGATCATGTACTACACCACACCACTAGCCAGTGACTTTATAAAAATTATTAATAAAATTAATTATAATAATAATCATGTAATAATGTATAGTTCTAACTGGCCACAAAATAATAATATTAATAGTAATAATAATAATTATTATTATTTTACAAAAAGGAGTGTAAAAGGAGAGTGTGAAAGCATTTTTATCTAGCATGAAAAAACATCTCAAGATCGTGTACATGTACATGTATCTATTAGTGCAGTATAGTTACACTTTAAGCTCCTATTAGTTATTCCATGTGGCGATACTTGGGGGTACATGTAGACTAGAGTTTCCAGGCGTTTCTCATCATGAGGTCAAAGTATGGATCACTGTCTATGGAGGCACTCACTCCAGCGTAATAATTGATGAATTCATCTCTGGTGACCTGAGAAAAGAGAGGAAGAGAGAGAGAGAGAGAGAGAAAGAAACAATATAACTTGTAACTTTTAACGAGAAAGGATGAGATAGAGAGAGAGAGAGAGAGAGAGGGAGGGAGTGAGTTTTGTTTCTCCTACTTGTCCATCAGGGTCATTAGGTGAGTCAAACTTCTTCAAGAACTCCAGAAACACTTGTTCTTCTGTCCATTCTCCATTTTGATACTTTTTGTGCTGCTTAGCGTTATACACACTGAGAGAGAGAGAGAGAGCGAGAGAGAGAGAGAGAGAGAGGGAGGGAGGGAGGGAGGGAGGGAGGGAGGGAGGGAGGGAGGGAGGGAGGGAGGGAGGGAGGGAGAGAGAGAGACTAATACATCATGCTGTTACAATATGTCTTCATGTGTTTTACCCTTTCAAATCTTCAACGGTGACTAAACCGTCTCCAGTCCTGTCCAGTTTATTGTAAGCCTGATCAATGATACTGATCCTACTCTGACTCATTGGAGGCTGGAGGAGAAGGATGGAGTGATGGAGGTGATGTATTTTAAATATTAAGAATCTTACACGTAGCTTTATTAGGAATTCATCAAAATCAATGGATCCATTCTTATCTTGATCAAACTTCTGAAACATCTGCTTTGATTCCTGAAAAGGAGGAGGAGAGAGAGAATGGTGGATTAGTTAGTTGTTATTTCTTACAGAATCAGTTAAACTCAGTCCATAGTCATGTAGCCCTTTCTTGAACTCATCGTAAGACAGTGACCTGCTACCATCATCATCCATGATACGAAACACTCTACAAGAAGAAAAGGTCTAAATTAAAAGTAATCCTTTACATAAAAGGATCATTACAGCACAGTATCCATACCTTCCCAGCCCCTTTATCCCTGATGCTCCACGGGCTAGGCACTTGAGCCTAAGCTTTTCCAGCGGGTCTGAGGTTTTTGCTGCAGCTTCATTACACTTCCTTTTCATCTCATCATCTTGACGGTGAGTGGCCATTACTCTATTCTCTTTATTTGCTCCTGGGATTTGCTTCTCTCTCGCCTCAGTGGTTAGGTTGCTAAGCAACTTTTGGGTGTGGTCAATGCTAGAGCTAGTATACGGAGATTATACGGAATTTTATTTTGAGCGATTTTTCATTCCTTGCCTAATAAAATTTTTACTTTTGGGAAGTATACGGAAATTAGACCAGCTCCTCCTACTGGGCATGCGCAGTAGCAAGCCACTGACCCACGTGCTTTCACGTGTTCTATAATCAATAAGGGCTAATTGTGTCAATTGTAAAATGGCAGTTAGACAGAGAGGAGGAGTAGGGAAGAGACCTCGACAGAGAGTGCATGGGGAGGAAAGGGAAGCTGAAAAGGCTCCAATAAAGTCAAAAAGATCAAACACCATAGCTCTAGGCCTGCTAGTCTTCATGGGCCTCCTAGTCCTGGCCTCATTCAGGAGCCATTACAACCTACCTGCTCCTAACCTGGAGAGGGATGGGAACCAGTTCAGCTCTCTTAATGCAAGACGTCATCTCAAAGCAATAACATCACTAGGTATTAGACATGCAGGGAGTGAAGCTAACGATATTAAAACTAAAGAACTACTCGTCTCCATTATTGAGGAGATTAAGGACTCCTCCAGTCCTGAGGTTAGTATAGAGACGTCAGTGCAGCACCCGAGCGGACACTTCTATCTTGATTTCCTTGGAGGAATGACCCACATATACGAGAACCTCACGAATGTTGTCGTCCGTTTAAAAGGAGCAGGGAAATCACCGAAACATTCTCTACTGGTCAATTGCCATTTTGATTCAGCACTAGGATCACCAGCTGCTAGTGACGACGCCGTCAGTTGTGCTGTTCTACTAGAGACACTGAGAGTATTATCAGCTAGCCCCTCCCCTTATTTATTAAAGCACTCTGTCATATTCTTATTTAATGGAGCAGAGGAAATGATACTTCCAGCCGCCCACGGGTTTATTACCCAACACGAGTGGGCGGGGCAGGTACGAGCGTTCCTAAACCTAGAGGCGGCTGGGGCCGGAGGTAAAGAGATTCTGTTTCAGACTGGCCCCAAGCACCCCTGGCTTGCAGCTGCTTATTCTCGTTCTGTTCCATACCCTCATGCGTCAGTAGTGGCTCAGGAGATATTCCAATCAGGAGTGATACCGTCAGATACCGACTTTAGAATATTTAGAGATCATGGAGGGGTACCTGGGATTGATATGGCATTCTTTGTTAATGGATACGTGTATCATACACAGTGAGTTACCGCATATAGTGAGTGAGTGGTTTTGTATTGACTATTGAGGAGTGATTGAGGTTGGTAGTTTGGTACAGGGGACATGATGTTATCATGTAGTGTATTGTTGATTCTTAAGATAAATGCAACCACAACTCATATACATATTGATAGACTTATGCTGTGTAGAATGTTTGAGCTGATTCCGACTTTAATTTTTTGAGTTATGGCCATTTTAAGAAAGCATCAAAAATCTAAAAAAATCCCTGTACTATATATAGCCCATAATTTTTTCAAAAAATGGCTCCGGAATCTTCCCTAATTTTTATTACATTTTCTGATACATATTGATGTCCTTATGCTGTCTAGAAAGTTTGAGCTGATTCCGACTTTAATTTTTTGAGTTATGGCCATTTTAAGAAAATGCCAAAATTCTGCAAAAGTTTCTATACTATAGCCCATGGTTTTTCCAAAAAATGGCTCAGAAATCACCCCCAATTTTTATCACATTTCTTAGGTACGACACTGCTGATAGAATACCAGATGGCAGTATACAGAGAGCTGGTGAGAATATACTGGCTCTCATCAAAGAGATAGCAAACTCAGACCTGCTGGCCGACCCTGGGGAGGACAGGCATGGTAAGGTGGTCTATTATGACGTCCTTGGACTGTTTGTGGTACAATACCCGGAGAGACTGGGACTGATACTGAACTATGGTACACTGGTACTCGGACTAGTGGGACTATGGTTCAGTGGAAAGAGACGAAGAGGAGAAAGTAAGTTATCATGAGTAATTTCTAAAGTACAGTGTTGTAACTTTCACTTCAAAATGGGTGACATTTTTACTTAAAATTTTCATAATTTCCAGCTCAAAATGAAAAACAATTTATATGTTCACAACATTCAATATTACCAGTGTATATTTCTCTTCCAGGCTCCTCCTCTTACAAGCTGATATTCCTATCTATTCCAGTGGTGCTAGTATCAATATTCACTGGTCTATTGTGTTCATTAGTCTCTGGTCTCGTTACTACAGCTACTGGTAACACTCTCTCCTTCTTCTCACGTCCTTACCTCGTGATACCTTTATACTACACACCCACTCTACTGGGAACTGGGGCTGTACACTACTGGTGGAGGAACAGGGTAAGATTATTATTATCATGTTAATAATACTTGAATATTTACTACTTTTATTATACTGCTGTACTTATAAATGCAGTGACACTTGTCCTTTATAATTCTTCTACCTCCTGCTCTCCCCCCCCCCTCTCTCTCCCTACAGTATTCTACCATCAGTGCTGAGCAGTTGGATCGTGCTCTATTAAACTCCAATCAGTTGATATTGTGGATATTCCTCCTCTCACTAACACTGCTCAGACTAGCTTCAGCCTGTCTTCCCTTCACCCTCCTCTTCTTCTCTCTTTTATTCCGTTCCTTCATTTGGGATAACATGCTTCGGTTCAGAATAGGCCCCACCTACTTCTCCTCCCCCTTGTCTCCGTTCATCATATGCTATACATTATGTACAGTCCTGTCTCTACTACCAGTGGTACTGCTGGTAGTCTTTGCTATTGGTATCAGTGAGCTGTTCATTCCTTTGATGGGGAGGGCAGGGGCTGTGGTATCATCTGATGTCCTCATGTCTATAGTGTCTGGTTTTACTGCTACACTAGTCTTCTTTAACTTTGTAAGTTTATTATTAATTAATACTGTGAATAAAGTGTATGAAATATTGATAGTCAAGTAGACTATTCTTCTGCTGTTTTTATTCACTTTGGCCTGCCATGTTTTAATAGAAGAGAAGGTTTTATTTGCAAAATTGACAGTCACTTTGAGCAACAAATATTTGTCTTTTAACTCCATAGTTTTATCATTTTTGATATACTAATTATTGTCACTATTATTATCTATTTTAACTCTCCTTTCCCTCCATTAATACTCCTATAGATTCCTCCAATAGTCTATCATTCTACTAAGCAGTTCTTGCGTTATCTCTCTCTATTCCTCTCTTCGTTTTGGCTCTTGTCCCTCCTCTTAGCAGCTGCTGGTTTATTGTTCCCTTATTCCGGAGTGGAGCCGGTCAGACCAAAGAGGTTCTACCTGCAGCACAGTCACATTAATAATCATGAGGAACCTGGGGCTTCATTCTCTGGAATATACATACATACCTTTGACTATAGGTTAGTATATGGGTCTGGAACCAGCCCCCAATTTTTATTACATTTTCTGATACATATTGATGCCCTTATGCTGTGTAGCAAGTTTGAGCTGATTCCAACTTCAATTTTTCAAGTTACGGCCATTTTAAAAAAACAGCAAAAAACTGAAAAATACCTAAGGCTATAGCCCATGGTTTTTTCCAAAAAATGGCTCCAAAATCACCCCAAATTTTTATTACATTTTCTAATACATATTGATGCCCTTATGCTGTGTAGCAAATTTGAGCTGATTCCAACTTCAATTTTTTGAGTTACAGTCATTTTAAGAAAACGGCAAAAAACTGAAAATTACCCAAGGCTATAGCCCATGGTTTTTTCTAAAAAATGGCTCCGAAATCACCCCAAATTTTTATTACATTTTCTGATACATATTGATGCCCTTATGCTGTGTAGCAAATTTGAGCTGATTCCGACTTCAATTTTTTGAGTTACGGCTATTTTAAGAAGATGTCAAAAATCTGAAAATTACCCAAGGCTATAGCCCATGGTTTTTTCCAAAAAATGGCTCCAAAATCACCCCAAAATTTTATTACATTTTCTGATACATATTGATGCCCTTATGCTATGTAGAAAGTTTGAGCTAATTCCGAATTCAATTTTTCGAGTTACAGCCATTTTAAGAAAATGTCAAAATTCTGAAAAAATCCCTGTACTATAGCCCATGGTTTTTTTCAAAAAATGTCTCCAAAATCACCCCAAATTTTTATTACATTTTCTGATACATATTGATGCCTTTATGCTGTGTAGCAAGTTTGAGCTGATACCAACTTCAATTTTTCGAGTTACGGCCATTTTAAGAAAATGTCAAAATTGATTAATTGAATTAATTAATTGTCATTATTTATTACAGGGAAATGGCTCCATTGTTGGATTATGTTCCTAAACTAAAAGAAGCCAAAGAAGTTCAGTGCAAGGGGGTTTACTGTGGAATGCCGTCTTACTTTCCGATATCTCACATGCTAAAGTAACCACACCCTCCATTAATTATTATTATTATTATTATTATTATTATTATTAATTAGGAGGAATTGGTTCCTTTCAGCAGGGCCTCCTCCTGGTGCCTCTTCTAAACTGGTTCTTGAAAGTGTCAAGAAAACCTCATCAAATTCAAGAAACTACACCTTCATCGGACGCTGTAAGGACATTATTAAACTTATTGAACCTTGTACCTAATCTCTCCCTCTCTCCCAGTTCCTCCTAATGCTAGACTCCACCTACAGCCATTACCAGGCTATTCTCTTCTCTCCTGGTCCCTTGAGTCCTTCATTCCTCCAGTGACTCCTTATGGTGACGAGGGATTAGGTTGCTATTACATTATGTACACTAGAGGGAATGGAGGGGGAGAGACTAAACTATGGATTGAAGTGAAGGTAAGAAGAGGAGCAGTGAAGTATGTGTAGCAACTAATGGAGTATCAACAATCAACTCTAACTGAATCAACTGATGTATATGTACAGACAGTGTTGATACAATGATAGTTAATGATAGATAAACACCATTTACTTAATGGGAATTTCGGAAATTTTGATAAATTTGTTGTTTTGATAGCAACTTGTCTGCCATATTCAGTGCAGTCTATGGCTATAAATTTGACAAATTAAAACCAGCCAATCACCAAAAATTATGAATTTGCCTAATTTACCTAATTTACCTCCTACAAAATACCAGTTATACAGTTTACCAATTTTTCATTATTATTAATAATTATTGTTTCTCTTGTTAGGGTGATATTGATGTGAGTCCAGTGCTGGAAGTATCCCTAATATCAGTGTATATCAACCCTCCTTCATCAACCAGTGATGAGTTACAGCAGTTATTATCATTATTACCATCATGGGTCTCTACTATTAGCTGGACATCAGTAATGGACAATATGACATTCTAATATACTATTAATATACTGTTAATATACTGATAATATACTGATAATATACTGATAATATACTGATAATATACTGATATACTCTCCACTTATAGTGATTCCTATATATTTGTATTTTCATATTATTGAAGTATTAGAATTTAGACGGTTAAACAACTTCTGTTGAGTATAGCTAAGCTTGTTTATTATTAATACATTTTGTAAATTAACATTGTGAATTTAGATAACTACAGAAGTGGTATCAGCAAAGTTTTTGACTTAAAGTTACACAAAGTTAAAGAGTTGTATCAGGTCCCTTCTCCCCTCCGACAGTTGTATTTTCTAATCCTGCATTTATAGCAGTGGTCTTTCCTTTTACTGTATAAAAGATAACTGATATCAAAGTTATTAAAACATGTTGTAGTTGATACCTCCAGCATCATAAGTACAACAATCATAGCAGAAGAAAAGCAGCCAAAAGCTACTCCTCCACACCCTAGGACAGCACCACTGTCTCTTCCAGCATATCCTCAGCAATATCCAACAAACAGACAATATTATTAATACTCCAAGAACAGTGGGTGAAGCAGCAACTGCAAGGGGATCTGTGATTGATTATTCAGTGACAATTATTAAATTGATGTTATCATTCATTACCTACAGAGGCACTGAGTTCCATTGTTGTATTATACACTTCATTACTTAGCTCTATTATAAAGAAGATTAATATTAACTCTTAATAAAAACATCTTAGCTTACCTCCATTCATATTAACTGTACCAGCAGCATTAGTAACAGTGATATTGTAAGAGTGCTTAGCTCCTGGCGTTATGCTAAAGATGACAATATTATTCATGACACATGATTTCAAGACATCATCAAAAGTAATGCTACAGTTAGTGACTGGAGGTCGTTCATCATCATTGTTCTAATTGAAAATTAAATCAAACTCAAGAACCCTCATAAAAATTAATATTGGCTATACATCACTTTATTTTACCCTAATTGTAAAGTTAGCAATATTGTTGTTAACATTTGTATCAACAGATATTTTAGGCTCTAAAGAAAATTAACTTAATTACTGATCATACTGTTGCATTCACCTTTCCAAGGAATGGATGTGCTATTCATAGAGCCAATATCATTTCCAGAATAATCAACACTAGTTAACCCAAAGCTGTACTCCCCAGAAGTCACTGGAATAAAATCATAATGTGTTGTTCCAGCAACATTCTTCACATCAACTTCATAAACTGATGAGAGATGGACTGAGAGACTAAGTGATGATAAACAAGTAGCTCCACTCCAAGAGACCCTGATACCATCATCATGAAACACAGGTGAGCTAAGATTAGCAGCTTCTGGATCTAAAACAAAAGTATATTGTGCATTATGACACAAGGTAACATTATTTTTTAAAATTATGTACATTTAGATAAATAAATTGAAAAATGCACATTATACATTATTTACAAATTATTGTTTACATTATTTCTAGTGATTTATACATGCATATACACTTGTTTGCAGCCATTTTACAACTGTAATGCTAACGAAACTGTAATACTAATAATTATACGTTTTAAAATTAGAGTAACATTTGTAGAAGGAGAGTTAAAGCGACTGTCAGAACACTCCAGTAATGATCCATTTACGATATCGGTTACTGTAGCAGTTGCTATTGATATGATGGTACTGCTATTAATAGAAGTGAGTGTAGCATTAAATGGACTATCTGGTCCCAGTGGAGCTAAAGTGTTAAGTGGATATGCAATTTCTCCATTGTTACGCCATGCTACCGAAACCCCATCGTAAGAATTATTAACAACACAGGTCCAAGTAGCAACAGCTCCTTCACAAACCTCTCCACTTGTCAGTGATAAACTAACACCAGCTGTGAAGTGGAGTAGACAATATTAATTCATCATACAATGAGGCTAGCAGTACTAACCAACAGAAGGAACAAGGAGCAACAGATGAAGGAATACACTCATCCTGGAGTAAGGATCCTGTAGTGTCAGGATTTGACACCAATCACACTGTGGGCATTGAAGTGTGAGGATTATGACTTGGCACTATGCCATTGATAACTGGTGTTAAGTTTGATCATAAATAATCATAAATTCATTGATGTACTAGTATACACCATATAAAGGGCTAACTGCTATATGAAGTGGCTATATTGTTACTATACTGTGTAACTGGTTTAAACTGTCGTTTAATTGTATTAACTTTGTTTGTAATAGTTATTATCTAATGGAATATAATAGAATAACAATAGCATCAATGTACTGTGTGTATTGTGACATATACAAAATGCATCAGATAAAATTATAAAAATAGAAGATTCTCTCCTTTTCAATTTTGGCAAAATTCGGTCCTGGAGCATATAGAGGGATTTTGTCCTGATTCTTAAGCAACTTTAAAAATCTGTAAAAAAATCCAATTTTAATCAGAATCAGCTCAAAGTTTCTACACAACATAAGAAATGTATATGCATCAGGAAATGCCCCTGTTATTTGTATAAAATCATTTCATTAATTTTGGTAATTTATTTCAGTATTTTGTTGTCAACAACTCTTACTTTTACTAGTTTCATTGTTATTGTCAATTAGTCTCAATAAACAATCCATTGTTTATGATAATGTAATGAATGTGTACTGAACTGACTATCAACAACAATAACTAATGGACATACAATAGAACTAATGGACATAAAGAACAATAACAACAACTGGAGGAGACAGGCTAGAGAGTATATATCACAAGGAGCTGCTTATCATGAAACAATAACAAAGATACAGCTAATACAGTAACGATAACAAAACACACCCAAACAGGATACTCTAATGGACAATATGAATTTTACAACTGGTATATATAAAATTCCTTTTTGTATTGTTCATTGTTTATCTCTTTTCATTCATATACATAATATCAATAAATGTTATCATGTTAAGGTATGGCAGTGAGTGTATAAAAATAAAAACATAAACAGTTTACATTCTAATGGTATAAACTGTTCAGTTCTCATTCCTCTTACTAATGGCTGCTACTCTCACTACTACAAGTATCTACTGGTGTCTTGTGTTTACTAGATGGATCAGTCTTGCTGTATCTGGTAAGTTTATAATTAATGTACTGAACTAGCTATACTATAAACTGTATATAGCATCATTGGTACAGACTGTTCCTCCAAACTCTGCTCCTGTGTGTCCTGGTGGTACATTAGTACTTACTTGTACTGCAGATAGGGCTGATAGTGCAGTTACCTGGAGAAATGATTCTGGAGCTGAAGTTCAAATAGACATGAATAGCAAACCAAGAACACTTGGTAGTTTCAATATAACAAATGAAGTAGTTGATGGAGTATTTGTAAGTAATGCTACGAATGAATCAGTACCAGCACAACTGAATGGAACTAGTATTAGTTGTTCAGATGATATTGTTAATCTAGTTTATGCTACATTAATCATTAATATGAGAGGTATTTGCATTAATATTATTTTATTCAGTATATTTCATACAATTTTAGATAAACCATCAGAAGCAGTTACCAATGTAACAATTACTCCTATCACTGATGATACATTATTAATTACTTGGAATACATCAGAGCCATGTATAGATCACTATAATGTTACTATTAATAGTAACAATACACATGATGAATCCAGGAATAGTAACAACACTAATATAACAATTAATGATCTTATTATTGGTACTAATTATTCATTTATTATTATTCCTATTGATACTATTGGAAGAGAAGGACCTCCTTCATCATTAATACAGTACATATGGAATGGTAAGTACTATACACACACACACACTCATTGTATTTCTTATAGTACCAGCTCAAGTTGTTAATATTAGTTGGGATCAGGTATCAACTGATACTATTACAATATGGTGGAATAACAATGAAGTACGTTATATAAAATATTATTACATGTACATATTAATGACTATCCTTAGGATTATTCTACTCTACCAGTTCCTCCTATTCAGTATTACATTATTAGTGTATACAATACATTAAACAGTATTATATACACTAATAATACTAATGATACTAATATTACTATCACTGGGCTACCTCTTACTGATACAAACTACACTGTTAGTATCATTCCTGTTAATATTATTGGATATGGACCATCAGCTACTGTTAATGGTATGGTTAATTACTTTACAACAATCTAGCATTATTGCTCAGCTCTATTTATAGTCAATATATCTGCTATAATGACCAGTACTAGTTCAATTACTAGTGTATCATCATCAGGTCTGTACAGTTAATACATTAATACATGATATATTGTATATTATTAGTTACATTAACTACTGATATAAGTACTACCAGTACACCAGTATTGTATATACCATCTCCTTCAAGTAGGTTTAATATTAAGTATGATAAATAGTTACAGTATCAGCTTCCAGCACTGACTCATCATCACATACTAATACAGTAACAAGCTCATCATCTACCACTGGATTCACTACTGCTCCTACAACTGTTAGATCAACACTGACATTATCAACTATGATACCACCCAGTACCAGTACTGCTGCTGGTTCTAATGCTGTTCCTATTATATCAGGAGCTATTGGAACAGTATTTGTTATAATAATAATTATTATTATTATAGTATTAGTAATAATACTGGTGATCAAGAAACAAAAAAGTAAGTGCTTTATTGGTTTAATTTTTATCATCTTTTCTACTACATGCAGATACTAACAGAGCATCTAAAAAGCAAGTTATTAAATAACAATTATCATTAATATTATCATCAAACACAAATTAGGATCAGTACTGATGCAGCAGTCACTCATACATATGATGAGATCATTGTTAAACCAACTACTACTACTGGAGTACCAATATATGATACACCAATGGAACTACAGGCTAATACTGCTTATGATGTTATTAATGAAGATATAGTTAATGTACATAATAATGATGCATATCGACAAATAATGATGTAGTATAGTCTATTTTTATATGAACTATTTAAAGCTGTGTACTTACATCAGCTATTTTGTGTATGCACACACATTGGATTTAATGTTTATATGTGTAGCTAATAGCAAAAAAGAACAACAGCAACACAGTTATTGGAAGTCAATAATATTATTGTCCTGAGTAAACATTTTATTGTTTATTCTAGCATAAACTGTTCAGTTCTCATTCCTTTTATACTATAATGGCTACTGCACTGGCATCTACTAGTGTTGATCTTAATTAACTTATTGTACTATCTGCAGTAACATTGGTTCAAACCTCTCAATTTTATAGTCCGGTGTGTCCTAGTGATAGACTAGGTCATGTACATCATTAATTTATTTCTATTGTATTACAGGTTACTTAAGAAAAGTGACACAATGACATTAGTACACACATCACTTTAATATAAAAATAAATATTGACTACACGTCACTTTATTTTACCCTAATTGTAAAGTTGGCAATATTGTTGTTAACATTTGTATCAACAGATATTTTAGGCTCTAAACAAAATAAACTTTAACAATTACCAATCATGTTATTGCATACCTACCTTTCCAAGGAATGGATGTACTGTTCATAGAACCAATATCATTTCCAGAATAATCAACACTGGTTAACCCAAAGCTGTACTCACCAGAAGTCACTGGAATAAAGTCATAATGTGTTGTTCCAGTTACATTCTTTACATCAACTTCATAAACTGAGAGATAAATAGAAAGTTTGTATGATCCTGCACAAGTGGCTCCACTCCAAGAGACCCTGATACCATCACCATAAAACACAGGTGAGCTAAGATTAGCAGCTACTGGACCTGAAATGATTTTATTTACAAATTGTGTGCATTCAGTATTCTGACTCATGTATGATTTATACATGCATATACACTTGTTTGCAGCCATTTTACAACTGTAATGCTAACGAAACTGTAATACTAATATATATACCTTTTAAAATTAGAGTAACATTTGTGCTAGGAGACATGAATCTATCATCAGAACACTCCAGCAATGATCCAC